CGTTTCACCAGCGAGCACAGGCGTTTCGCCAGCGAGCACAGGCGTTTCACCAGCAAACACCGGCGTTTCACCAGCGAGCACAGGCGTTTCGCCAGCGAGCACAGGCGTTTCACCAGCAAACACCGGCGTTTCACCAGCGGCGTTTTACCAGCAGCGAACACCGTCGTAGATCGATTCCCTTTCAAAGCCAAACTCTTTTCTTAAATAACTGAGGATGAAACACTTTGATTGTTTGATTCTAATTTCAGATCAAAGGATGAATCCAGTTTAAAGTGTTCAGATAGGAATAAAATGATCCCCCCACCCCCACTGGTTTCCTGATGAGCTCCGCTCTGATGCTTCGCCGTCTCTCTCTCTCTCTCTCTCTCTCTCTCTCTCAGGCCTGATGGGGCGGTACCAGGAGACGTCCTGGTTCTGACCAAGCCTCTGGGAACCCGAGTGGCCGTGAACGCCCACCAGTGGCTGGATCAGGTCAGCCAATCAGGGATCGTGGTTCTGTTGGGTTTATCTAAAATGAACTGAAGTCGCTTCACTGAAGCTCCTGACCGACAGTTGGAGCAGAAACAGATTCATTACTCTGCTGTTTGAGTCCAGAGGACGGTGAACAGGTTGGAGGAAGAATACACCATGACCTTTGACCTCATGATTGTCCAATCTGTTCCTTTGTACCTGATCTCCGGTTTTCCTGGGCTTTGGAGCAGGTTTCTGTGGTTCCTGCAGACAAAGACACAGATGTTGAGGAGAGGCCCCTGGAAAGGGGCCCCTGGCTCTGAGAAAGAATCAACCTGAGGATCAGATGATGCTCTAGAAAAGGATCGTAGCTTCCTATCATTAATTTTCCCGTTTTCTGCTCCTCAGCCCGAGAAGTGGAACAGGATCAAGCTCGTCGTCACCAAAGAGGAAGTCAAAGAGGCGTATAACGAAGCCATGTTCTCCATGGCAACGCTGAACCGAACAGGTACCGCTGCTCCGCCGCTCCCCGTCTGCTCCACGCTGCGCGTCTTTTTTAACAGATTCCCGTTTCCTCTGCAGCCGCCAGTTTGATGCACAAGTACCAGGCCCACGCCGCCACGGACGTGACGGGCTTCGGGTTGTTGGGACACGCCAACAACCTGGCGGCTCAGCAGAAGAACGAGGTGGCCTTCGTCATCCACAACCTGCCCATCATCGCCAAGATGAGCGCCATCAGTAAAGCCTGCGGGAACCTGTTCAACCTGCTGCAGGGCCGCTCGGCCGAGACGTCCGGTAAAAATGCTCCGCACGATATTACGGGATGTTCAACAGACGCCATGTGACGCTAACGGGCTGGGAAGATTTTAGAATAATTCATGATAGTGAGCAGTTAGCTTAAACAGTGGCTTGACTTAAACAGTGGCTTAGCTGAAATGCTAGCTTAGCTTAAATGCTGCCTTAGTTTAAATGCCGTCTTAGCTTAAACACCAGCTTGACGTAAACGCAGGCTTAGCTTAAATGCTAGCTTAGCTTAAATGCTGGCTTAGCTTAAATGCTAGCTTAGTTTAAATGCTGGCATAGCTTAAACGCTAGCTTAGCTTAAATGCTGGCTTAGCTTAAATGCTGGCTTAGCTTAAATGCTAGCTTAGCTTAAATGCTAGCTTAGCTTAAATGCTGGATTAGCTTAAATGCTGCCTTAGTTTAAATGCCGTCTTAGCTTAAACACCAGCTTGACTTAAACGCCAGCTTAGTTTAAACGCCAGCTTAGCTTAAATGCCGGATTAGTTTAAACGCCAGCTTAGTTTAAATGTCGGCTTAGCTTAAATGCTGGCTTAGTTTAAATGCCAGCTTAGCTTAAATGCTGGCTTAGCTTATATGTCGGCTTAGCTTAGAGAGTATACTGGTTTCAACAGCATATCAACTTTAACGGCGGCTTATCTTTAACTGTGGGTTAGCTTGATCCAGATCGGATGAACGACCATGCAGGTTTTTGTTCTCTAAAGTTTATAAGGTGACGTCTTTAGCTGGGAATACAAAGGGAAGCAGAAAGTGGGAAAAACTTCCAGGATGTAAATGTGGGAATTCTTGAGGAGGAAACTGATTGTCGTCCCTCCGACAGGCGGGCTGCTGGTGTGTTTACCCAGAGAGCAGGCGGCCAAGTTCTGCTCCGAGATGAAGAGCCTCAGCTCTGCTCAGGGCGCCTCCAACGGCGCCTGGATCATCGGGATTGTAGAGAAGGGCGACCGCCGGGCGCGCATCATCGACAAGCCGCGCATCATCGAAGTGCCGCCACGAGGAAGCCAAGGAGCCAATCAAGATAACAGTGCAGCCAATCCGGAGCAGTGCGGCGACGTGTCGTAGACGCTGACTCTGCGCCGCAGTGGGAGTGAATGAGTGTGTGTGGTGGGGGGGTGTTCGTTAATATATATACTTTCTAACCTGGATTTTAGAGCTTAAATTTTTCTGTCATTTCTTCTGATTTATTTAATTTGTGGATTTATTAATATAAGATGTTGGAAACTAAATGGGTCGTTAATCCTGGGAACTGGTTCTGCCCACTGGGCGCTCTGGAAGGCTTGAGCAGCTTCCTTAGAACAGCTGGGCAGTGTCCAGGTTTTCCCGCTCCAACGTCCAACATGGAGGTCCTCCCTCTGTTCCCGCTTTATGACGCTCTGCTCATCAAACCCAAAGCGCCGTGGGCGGGGCCGAGCAGGGCCGATGTTTGCTGCAGGAGGAGAGGCGGGACTGAAACCGCTGGACGTCTGAAGCCGTTTGTTGATTTGTATTTTTCTCTGCTTTTCACTCAATAAAAACAACAAACTCTGATTAAATGTTTGTCTTTTCTTTATTGGAAAATAAAAGATTTAATTCCAAAGACCTGCTTTAGTTCTCAAGAGAAAGTCTTGGATGGGAATTAAAGATCTGGAAGCTAAGATCTAAGCTTCCTTCAAGCTTCTGGGCTTTTTCACCGTTTAAAGACTTTTGGTTGAAAAATCTGCTGTAAATTTAAACGTCTGAATGAATAAATGATTTCATCTTAAACAAACATATGAAAGCCACTTAATTATTTCTGAGGCTTATGGTTTCATTACTTTGATGCCAAATCCTTCAATTTACTAAGAAAATATAAACAATTTATGAAACCTTTAATACTTTAAAGGGGATAAATCAACTAATGGGGCGACGTTTATAAAAACTAGATGAAGGCAAATGTATTCAGTCCAGTTTTCTAGAGAAATGAACAGACACTGAACAAGATGATTAACAGACTTATTCACCCTTTATAGAGCAAGTTAGTATTTCTGATCACTAGCATACCCATTACTAATGCAGTCTCCCTTTTAAGTTAAGTCTGGGGGGGGGGTTAGCAAGTCAAGAAAAAAACATTTATATGTAGATTTATAAACTAAAAAATGTAAGTGCCAATATCAGCATTAATGCCTCTAAGGTTATGTTGGACCAAAAACTGTTTTTCATGAATTTCTTTTAGAAGCACTTTTTTTAATTATTATTTTTCTTAATATATTTGGGCAAGTTGGTGTTTCTTGTTATTACATTGAAAAAAATTTTTACCATCATTTTTTTTTTTATTTATGTAAGAACTATTGGCTGGAAATGTAAAAGTATTTGACTGAGAACCCTATAAAGGGTTATAAGGTTCCTAAAGTTGACTCTGCTCCATTACTGCTCACTAGATCACCTTTAAAGAGTGACCTTTGTGTTTTTGTGAAAGGTGTCACAGAAATACAGATTTAATAACTTATGAGGTAGATTGCTTTAAAAAGATGCATTGCAGATGGAAATACATAGTAAATTAATAAATAAATAGTATATATTTTAACTGAAGCAAAATCAGGCATGTCTTTAAAACAGTAAGTGGAGCCTCCTCGCGCTATTTCACGAGAATTATATTGAAGGAAATGTAAATGAAAAATCAGACTTTGCCCCAGACGCTCTAATGCGCTGCAGTTCCACTCCAGGCCACCAGAGGGCGCTCTGACCAGGCGGAAAGGAGCCGCTGAAGGAACCGACGCGGAAGTTTGGGCAATGTAAACAAACCCGTCATCATCTAAATGGTTTCTGTAGGATAAAATAATCAGCTTGAAGATCACTTTGGTATTTATTAACATTTTAAGCCTCTTTGCCTGTTTAATCCGCGATGTTATGATAAAGAGTCGATGTTGTCGATTCTCTTTATGTGATGTTTTAGTGTGTAATTTGTTCTGTTGTTTCTTGTATACAGTCACTGTGTTATGTGTAAAAGCCTAACTGGGGACAGGCATTGAGAATTAGCCTTAGCTAAAATGTTGTAGTGTGTGATATGATTCATGAAACATACTGGTCCCTATCAAATAAACGAATAAAATAAAAAAATGTTTGCCGTGTTTCTAGAGCCCATCATCATCGCCATCATGCCGTATCTGGGCGGTAAGGAGACGGTGAAGGAGCTGAGGAGGTCTCTGTCCAACCCTAACATCCAGACCGACCCTCTGCGCTACAGGAACGCGGTGCTCAGAGTCATCAGGTGGGACCCGCTTTTCAGCTGAGGCTCCTGCTTTACGGCACTTGATGATGATTCCAGTCGAACTGATCTTCATCCCACACTAAATGCTTTCACCTCATGTTTCTACAGACATCTTCTCCTTCAATTAAAGTTTGATTTCCACAAAAGTTGTTATTTTAACCTATTTTATAAAAACATGTTTATCTTTTCAAGTGAAATGATTTTTCTTGAGCTTTTCCAGCTTTGGACCAAAACAAAGCAGAGAGATAAAAGAACATTTAATGATTTAATAAATTCCATCTGAATATGATCATTATCCTGGAATTTGGTCTGTTTCTGCTAACTTTGCCCGTCCACAAACAGACACTTTAGCTGGAAGATCAGATCGTTTTCCTGCTCCAGTGTCTTTAGGTCAGACTTCCTGAAAAGCTGGAAACATGGAAATGTCTGTTGTTATTATATGTTCCTTTCTATTCCCAATAAAAAATATCTTATTTAATCAGATATTATTTCAGCTGTTATATACTGTTTATGACACACAGTCCTACTAACTGTGTGTTAGAACAATAAATGAAAGAGTGATTCGAGCACTAATCAGGGTCAAACAGTTATTTCTGCACATACATGGAATAAATTCACCACAACTTCTGTTCAAAATATAAGA